GAGCAGGAACCCTAGCTTATTGGTTGAGCTCCAAGGAAGATAAATTATGCTCAAATGAAGATAATTAAAGATGGAGGACCAGTCAACAAACCACTTGTTTTGAATGATACAAATTATGATTATTGGAAGGTGGTGATGATGGATTTTCTTAAATCCTTGGGAAACAAAGCATGGAAATCTATGATAAAGGGATGGAAACATACCATGATTACCTCTAAAGATGGTACAACCATCCTAAAACCAGAGGCTGATTAGACTGATGCTAAAGATGATGAAGCCCTTGGAAGCTCCAAGGAATTGAATGCAATTTTCAATGGTGTGGATAAGAACATGTTTAGGCTGATCAAGACGTGTTTAGAAGCTAAAGAAGTATATTAGACTCTAAAAACTCCAAATGAAGGCGCATTCAAGGTTCGTATGTCAAGGTTGCAGTACTAACATCAAAATTTGAGAACATGAGGATGAATGAAGATGAAGTTGTGAGTCAAATTCTCATCAGATTGCGTGACATTGCCAACACATCTTTTTGCTTAGGTGAAAAAAAGGTCTGAAGAAAAGCTTTCCAAACATATTTTCAGATCATTACCTAAGAGGTTTGATATGAAAAGGACTTCTATTGGAAAAGCTCAAGATCTAAGTAATATTAAGGTTTCTTCCCTAATTCTCTTGAAAAACCTATACATTAAAAGCTCCAATCACTTCTATCTGAATCCTCATGAAATACACTTAATCTCCACTCATTACGCACTCTATAAATCTCAACCCCATCTCTTGAACATTCTATCAAACTCTCGTCATCTAACCAAAACCTAAAAAAACCTTAAACTTCATTTTCAACTCAGAAGTTGTCATGGCACCATCAAGAAGGGATAGAGGCAAGGGAAAAACTATTGATGACTCCACTGGTCCTGAACCTAATAGACCTAACAACTTGAACTTGGAAAAGTTGGTTCCTACTCCAAAATAGAAGATTTATTTCATGCTTGCATTTAGAAACCATTCACTGACAACTCCAAAGTATGGTAATCTATCAACCTTTTTGCTACTAGTTTTGATTTTCATAAGTTGATGCATTAATAAGTGTTAGGGACATTTATTTCTGATTTTGGTCCTTATTTTCATAAATTAGTATGAACCTTTTATTGTAATATGTTTATTAGGAATGGCTACATTGTGAAATCCCGTGTCAATGGGATAAACATTGTACTATCTATGGAAGGTTTTGGAAGATATTTGGATGTTCCCTTTGATAGGGAGAGAATTTATCAGGGATTTAGATGTGATTGGATGGCTATGAGAAAAATAGGTTTTACTATAGCATAAGTTTTCTTAATGAGCAGGAGATCTACACCAAGAGAGCAAGGAACATTGTATCTTCTCCAAATTGCCAAATTTTCTACTCAACAAATCTTTCAGTAAGTGACCGAATGCTCCGCTACTGTATTTGTTACATACTCATGTTGAAACACTCCAACCATTGTCAAATTAATGATACTGAAATGTAAACCATATATGATGTTAAGAACAAATTGAAAATGAATTGGGCTTATCTTATCATGCATCATATGATTCACCAAAAGAAGCTTTTTGGCGGTCTTATGCAAGGTTGATTACTAAGATTTGGAATTTTGTCAAATTGATTTGCATGGGTAATAAAGATTCAAGATAACTTTTAAGGAACATGAGATCAACATAGGGGTAGAAAACAAAAACATGGGAATTTTCAAGGACATGGATGACATCTTTAAACATAGAGAGGTTGCATCGTCTACTTCTTCATCTGCTCCAATCCCAAAAGACATGATGAACCAAATGCTTTATGACAAACTTTGTCACATAAAAAACTTTGTGACACAAGGATTCTGGGACATTAATTCACCTTGAAATTGCCAACCTTAAAAAAAAACCAAAACCAAGAGGATAACGAGGAGGAGTCAGGATAAGAAAGTGACTAAAGTGGCTCATATGTCCTTTCTTGTGTCTTCATATGTTATTTGCATATGCTTTTTTTGCTAGTTATATGTTTATGTTTCCTTGCTAGTTTCAGGGTTATGTTTTGGTTCGAATTTTAATTAGTTCAGTTTTGCATATGGCTAAGTATCGTTGTTTATCATTCTATATTATTTACTATGCACGTCTCTTTATTTGGCACTTTTTCCTCTTTTATTATTTATAATTACTAAGGGGTAGAAGTGTATGTCGTAGTCTATTAACCTATGCATGAACAAAAGTATCAACATTGATATATCAAGGGGGAGGTAGCATAGTAAGGGGGAGTATGTTACTCAAGAACCAATTTTAAGCATTTCAATAAGTCTGGTTGTCATCATAAAAAAGGGAGATTGTGAAGACAAGCTTCCAATGTTATATTATGTTTTGATGAAGATGAAGTATCAAGGTCAAATACATTATCAAAGAAGAAAAAAGTTCTAATTTCAAAGGAATCAATGGTGACAAGACTTAGAAATCAAACAATCTTTAAAATGACATTGGACTTTGATGGATTGATCTTAAGAATAAGGTACAAGTTACAATTGAACTTTGTATATTACCATAATACTCAGAACAAACTTGCATCTTTCATATCTAAGGATACAAACATGTTTTAAAAATATTCATTTAAAAGCATGTGGTTACAAGCCGATTTTTGGACTTTCAAACAGTTGTAACCGGTTACACTAATGTGTTAATCGGTTACATGCACGTAAAATTCAGTATTTTTGAAAATCATGACAACTGTAATTGATTAACCAAACCCTATATCCGGTTACAACCACAAAAAATTTTAAAATTTCTTTTCAGCTTCAGTTGTAACCGATTATGATAATGCGTTAACCGGTTACCGCTGAAGCAATGACACTTTTTCATTTTCAATCTGATTCCAACAATTTCCAAACTTCATTTATCAATCATGACAATAATTCATGATATTATACTATTTCCAAAAGGTATAATTCAAGTATAAATAGATGTGGATTCAGATTTTTAAATTTAACCACTTTTTAACAATTTAAATATATATCTTTCTCAATTTTCATCTAAGTGCCTTGAGCCAAAAAATTAGTGATTTTTTTTTGCATAAACTCTTACAACATCATTAAAGTTTCATTCTTAAGTTCTGAGCACTTAAGTATTATACATTGTAAATTGTTACTTGAAAGGGAAGATCAATTCTCATAATTGATACATGTTGTAAATGTGTCTTAAAACCTTTGTTGATGAAGAGAAAGAAAATATATTTTGGAGATTGCATTTACTGTGAAAATCGGACGAAAAGTCGGGCAGTGAATAGTGATGTTTGTACGATAAATAGTGTTTTCCGTACGGATGAATAGTGACGTATGTACGGTGAATAGTGTTATTCGTACAGTGAATAATGTTTTTGTGTTTTCGAGCTTTTTTTATTCAGTCCATGGATCCATGTGATTTTGGAATTTGTTTGTTGGCTATTTGCTATTTATCTCTTATATGCTTGATGTATGACAATCTTAGATTTTTCACCAATAAGGGAGACCAAGGGTTTAAATGTATAACATATGGTTTTAGCTATGCACAAAGAAAACCTTGGATTACACCTTGGGTTTGAGTGATTCATATATTGAGAGTTAGAGAGGTAGGGAAACACTTGGGTAGAAAATAAGGTTGTTCTTGGGCGGCTTCAGGGTTGCTCTTGGGAACCTTAAGGCGAATGTTATTTTCTTGTAACTCATATGTAATCTCTTTTAACAACTTTTATACTAAATTGGAGAGCTGCTATCTCCTCCAGAGTAGATTGTTTGATCGAACTGGTTAAACAAACCTTCCATTTTTTCTTGCCTTATTCTGTTATATTATTTGTGTACGGGTTATTATTGTTGAAGACCATTTATTTTGGTTGCTATTTTTCTTTGCCTCACAAATTGATATTGAATGTTGTCGTAATTCACAACAAGATTCACAGCAAGTGGTGCGGTGAGCATGGAGTAAAGAGATATTGTTGATAAGTGAGCACCATGGTTAGTAGATGACATATCGAGAAAATTTCGGGTAACAACGACTTTGAATTATGGAAAATTAAGATGCAAGCAATTTTAATTCAAGAGAAGTGTATCGATGCTTTGAAGAGTGAAGCATTGATGCTTGCAGGGCTTACACAGGTTCAGAAGACTGAGATGGTGGATAAAGCCAGAAGTGTCATTATCTTGTGCCTCAGGAATAAAGTTCTAAGAGAAGTCGCTAGGATTTTGAAATATCACAATTATTTAAGGATGACAATGAATAAGATTTGGACAGGGTACTATTGTACTCATCCCCATACCCGATTAGATGTCAAAGGTAACACCCATATCCGTGTTTTATGGATATGTAAGTACTCATATCCGTACTCGTGACCCACATTTCTATTAAAAATAAATAAATTAGTTATTAAATATCATATAATTTTAAATTTTTAAATACATTAAAAAAAATTTAATTGAAAACGTGCATTTAAAAATGTATAATTTAGTCCAAAAAATAATATTAATTTTAAATAAATTTAATTAGTCAAGAACGTTTTTCTTTTAAGTCACTTAACATGAAATCCAACCAAATATATTGTCTACTTAAAAACATATTCAAAACTTAATTTTAAAATTGAAAGCATATAACAAAAAATGTTGACTTCCTATGTGTATATATCTACTTAAAAGCATATCAGACAAAAGTAAAATATTCTTTATCATCAATTTTAATGTAAAATGCATCGTTATTTAGTTTTTGTCTTGAACTATAAATTGTTATAAATGAAATAAATATTAACATGTTAGTACGTTACCATAACATGCAACCAAATATTCTAAATAGTTATTATTCAAAAGACTTGTTTTTAAAAATATATAGTAAAAATATAATTCAATTTTAAAGTCATTTAATAATATATAATTATAAAATCAACACATCAATGCTCAGTTACAAGTACACCTTTCATATATAAAAATCACATTACTTGGTCCAAATATCTTCATACTGGCCAAGAAAACATGGTTTCTTCCCCACCATTTTATTCATACCTAGCTATCATTTCTCTCTGTGTTTCATTCATCGTAGCCCAAAATGATGGGTTCACTGTCAAACTATTTCGAAAATCTTCTTCGAAATATATCCCAAATATTGTACAAGCACCTATACATGCTCATATTGGGCAGCATCTCATGGAGGTGTATTTTGGAACTCCACCAATAAAAATATCTGGTATTACAGACACAGGAAGTGACCTTATATGGACCAATTGTGTACCCTGTGATGGGTGCTACAAACAAATCAACCCTTTGTTTGATCCTCAAAAATCTTCCTCTTATAGTAATGTCGCATGTGATTCTTCCGAGTGTAACAGCCTTTACTCACACGAGTGTTCTCCTGAGAACCAATGTAGTTACAACTATGGCTATGCGGATAATTCTGTTACTCAAGGAGTTCTTGCACAAGAAACAGTTACCTTAACATCCAACACAGATGAACCGGTTGACCTTAAAAACATTCTTATTGGTTGCGGACATAACGACACGGGAACTTTCAATGACCATGAAATGGGTATAATTGGTCTTGGAAGAGGACCTGTGTCACTCATTTCCCAAATAGGTCCTTTATTTGGAGGAAAAAAGTTTTCTCAGTGTTTGGTTCCATTTCACACTGATATTAAAATTGCAAGCAAAATGAGTTTTGGAACAGGTAGTGAAGTATCAGGGGAAGGTGTGGTTACAACACCTATGGTTACAACACAAGACCCAACATCATATTTAGTTACATTAAAAGGTATTAGTGTGGAAGATACCTATTTACCTTATAATACTAAAAAGGGTAACATAATGATTGATTCAGGGACACCACCCATTTATTTACCTAATGATTTCTTTGATAAAGTGGCTAGTGAAGTTAGAAATAGGGTTTCAATGGAACCTGTTACAGATGATCCAAGTTTAGGTACTCAACTTTGTTATCAAACAAACACTAATCTTGATGGGCCAAATCTAACATTCCATTTCGAAGATGCAGATATAGTTTTAACACCAATCCAAACCTTTATTCCACCAAAAGATGGTGTTTTCTGCTTGGCAATATATAACCAAACTGAAGAGGTAGGAATTTATGGTAATTTTGCACAATCAAATTACTTGATTGGATTTGATATAGAAAACGAGTTGATTTCTTTCAAGCCTACAGATTGCACCCAACAATAGATGTCAATCAAATTCAAGTCATGTATCAGTATAACAGCTTTTTATTAATCTTGTTTTAATAATGAATTTTGATTTAAGGGGATGAGAATAATATTTGTGTTTAGTTTTTGTTTTCTTTTATATTTATTTGCATCTATGTTATTCTTATATATGTCCGCTTTATAACTTTTTTTTTAATTATCTAGTCTATTATTATATATATCCACTTGCCATTGAAAAATATACATTGCTGGATAAATTTCATTTATGTTGCGACCTTCAAAACTAAATTATTCGAAGAAAAAAATATCTATCAAATATATATATATATATATATATATATATATATATATATATATATATATATATATATATATATATATATATATATATATATATATATATATATATATATATATATATATATATATAATAAAAATGATAATGTTTATTTTCAATAGGGGCAATTTTTCTTTGCCTCCAAAATAAGTAATCAACAATCAAAATTGATATGATAAATTACTATTTTTGAATTCAATTTAAATTAAGTAAAGATAAAAACAAGATTATATAACAAATACATGTGGATTTTAGAGAGAAAACCTCGTAACTATTATAATTTAACACAAACTCCATAATTCTAATAAAACATATCCACTTCTAAAAACCTTTAACTTCTAAATATTTATTATACTTAATTGCAAGTTCCATCAACTCACAACAACTTCTAAAAGTACAACAACTTCTAAAAGTACAACAACTTCTAGAACTATACCTATTGAGTAGTACAGAACATCACAACAACTAAAATCTCTAAAGACCATAAACTTCACACAAAATAAAGAAATACATTATATACCTTATATAATTCTCGTCTCAAGAATGTATTGACACCAATCCTCCTTAATTTCTTCCAATTTATCTTTCGAGTAAGTAGCACACTTGAATTCATCAAAGTACTACATAATATAACATAATATGCATGATTTAGTTAAAATTAATTACTATTAGATAAAATATATATCCGCTAAATATTAAAATAAATTCTAACTTATAAATTCATACCGTGTTTGGAATCTCTATTTGACCAAAATGAAGAGTTTCCTTCATAAATCGCAATACAAAATAACCGCAATCTGTACCATTACGCTGACAAGGACACTACACATAGAAAAAAAAACGAATATATATCAGAATATATAGTTTAACTTGTTTTATCAGGTAGTATCACTATTGTAATCAAAATTGTGAAAATATACATGCACTCTGATCCATGTAATGTTGTTTGCTTTACTCTTTGGTACTCGAGTTTGTCTTTGTGATCAGAATATTTGTATCAATCTAACATATTAATATAAATGAATATTTAGAACAATCTCACATAATAAATAAATATACACACGAATATTCAGAACAATCTCATCACTTACATATCAATCATCTTCTTCATATCTGGGTATTTTGTTTGATTACCATCTAACGAATCCAAATAATATATTATTTTTCTTATCGGATTAATTGCAATCAACAACCAGTGTCCACTGTAAAATAATATAAAAGTTAAGATGAAAATTTTCTATACAACGATAAAAAACGAATAATTATAATAACTAAAATTAGAATGAATGCTAACTCATGACCATATTATATGGGAAAAAATATAACTTTTCTCTATCTCTGTTGGCCATAAATGCATCGACTAAGTAATTTTGGACTGCATTTGGACTTTGTTCGATTAACCGTGTGTTGATACAACTGACAGATAAGAATGAGAAACTGTCTGTCAATTGACGCAGGAGTATCAATTTGACATACAAGAACCTTAAATAAAAACATAATCAACATTAGAATATTCATTGAAATGAGTAAATAAATTGTTCAATTATTTAAACAAAACCGATCGGAGTACCTGATGTATGAATGCATAACACCGATGTCTAATTCAGAATATTGAAAAATCTGATCCAAATCCTCTTTAGCAATTGTTTCGGTATAAGCAAACCCGAAAATACCTTCCTCCATAGGTATTTCACGAATACCATCTTCCATCACATCTGTAGTTTCTACCTATGTTTCAAGGCACAACCTAAATCGAGGAACATATGCTTTTTTAGGCTCAGCCTTCGCAAGTTCCCTTTTTTTTTGGACACATTGCTAAATTCAGGCATGACATTCTTGCTGACTTGTTGCAACTCCTGAGCATGAATCTAAAAATCATATAAGTTAAGTAATTAATGTATAAGATTATGAAGCTTTTGAATTCAGATGATATAATATAATTGACACTTTATATGCATATATATAAATGTACCTGTTTTTTTGATGCAGCTGACCCGGTTTACCGTACAGTCTCCTTATCTTTTGATTTGGATTTTGTAGGAGTCTAAGATTATCATGGCTCGTAAAACATTTAAATACTAAAAGGTTCATAATGGTGATCAATATATCTCATCATCTATGAAAATGAGGTTTGAAGGTTATGCAACATACGATCCTATAGCGTCTCCCACCAGTGTTGCATCTGAAACATCGTTGGATATATGTAATAACGCATTCCCCTCTAAATCAATATCAATCGAGACTTTCAAAAATTCAGCAGGGAGCGGCTTATGGTGAAGTAAGTCTCCCAAAGTATTATGCATTTTTCCCTTGCCAACCATGTGATAAGTCGGTGACGATAAATAGAGCTGACAAGGTGAAATGCCCTAAACCAATAATAAATATGATTAAGTACGTAAATATGGCTATTAAAAAAATTTTGATAAATTAAATTCAAGTTAATATATATAATTACCTCACGAAGTTTCTGTTGAAAATTACAATTGATACTATCTTTGTCACCAGTATCTTTAAATTTTGAACCGCGCCTTTTTGACATATATATTTCTTTATCCTTTTGCAATTCACGAATTTGAGCTTTTAATTCTTCCAACGATTACATCACTTGTATATTGTTAGGACTTTCACTCTTTGGATGCTTATACAATATTGTTGGAGTGACCCCGAATCCCTTACCCCTCACACAACCAGAATACTCAAGAACATTTAATACGCAACTTAGTACGCTTCTGCAATCAAGGTCTTCATCTGGAGTTAAGGACTGAGATAGATTTTCCTAAAATTCATACGCATATAGGAAAATATTAGTGTGGATTAAACAACATAAATATTATATGTTAATGAACTTTTAATTTTATTAATGTTATACTTACACATTGTTCAAAAACTTGTTGAACTTCTTCCTGAACAACTCCATCCTTACCCACACTAGCAGCCTTCCACAAAACATGTTTCGAAAGCGATTTTTCTTCACTTTTCTCCTCTTCTAACTACACATTAATACAAATATTAAGATAAGTGCACTTTTCTCCTCTTCTAACTATATCATTGTAAAGCATTTATACATACTTACTATTCTTTTATGTAAGCGTGCATATCTCAAACGCCATTTTTTGTATGGATACATGGGTTTTGATGCTCGTTGGCGATTTATGCCACTCACAGCCTGAATAAATAAGTTTAAGTCATTTCAGAACACATGTACAACAAGAATATATATTATACAATGTTCATGATAAGTAAAAATTACATGGGATTCTTGTGTTCTTCGTTTGGCAAGAAAAGATTTCCATTCTTCAGGTGAAGTCAAATCTGCATACTTCTTTGGACGTTCTGATTCAACAAAACTTCCATCAGAATCCTTAAGAAATTTGTTCATTAAAAATGCTCGAAACCCTCTGAGTCTTTTTCCGAGAGGATACCGTCCAATTACATAAACGCTAAAGTATCTTAGTTTTGACATCAAACAAAATTCATTTAACGGAAAGTTGCACTCACATACTCCCTCTTCTTTATGATGGCAAAACTTGAGACGATGTGTTTTGTGTCTTCATGAAGGCTCCCATGATTGTGTGCATCATAGCTTCATAGCTTACATATGCTTCTTTCCATTTGACAACATCAAAATGAGACAAAGCAAGTCATTAGAAGTATCACGTATATATAACGTATCATATATACAATATACCACACAGAGGCGTTTGCAAAGAAAAAGTGTGCACTCACATACACTACATATATGAAGATACACCAAGATAATTTAACATAACATAAATAGAAATACAACATTACAATATTGTCATCAAAGGTGATACACATAGCAAAATTGTTGTCTCACATTAAACTAGTAGTAACATTGTCAAGACATAAGCTTAAAGCAAAAACAGACCAAAAGAAAAACACAAAATGTATGATGACTTAAACTATGAAATGCATGACACAAAAGTTTCACACGATGTTTAACATAAACGACACAAAGACTCAACACTTCAACATTCTCCATGATGCCAACCTTGTCCATCATTTCCAAATTGATAATCCTAGAAATCACACATCTCTTGATAGAATTAAGCATAGAGGTGGTGATTCTCATTTTGAGAAAAGTTAGGCCTTCGTGGCCAAATCTGTTTTTAAGGTTGTTTAAGTATTGCCTTCGTTGTTTTCAATATATGATTCAATGTGTTTAAAGTTGATTTAAGAGTTTAGGAATTGTTTAGTATTGGATTGTTGTTGCCTTTCTGGTGATGAGTTCCATGAGTTTGAGGGATTTGAACTGATGGTCTGATAGGTTTGAGGCTGATTTGAGAGTAAGGGAAATTAGGCCTTCATGGCCAAATCTGTTGTTGAGGTTGTTTAACCGTATAAGGTAAGTGATTGTGAAAACTTTAATGACTGTGGGATATTTGTAAGGATTTATGGGAATTTGAGGCGTAAATATGATACGGAATTGGCTTAATAAGTCGTAGATTTTGTGTCTTTATCGTCGTAATACCTTAGGAATGATTTTGGGATGTTTTTGGGACATTGGGGAAGGAAATCCTAGAGGTTTTTGGGTTGTTTTTGCTACTGATGCGTAACAGCATTTTGCTCTAATCGCGAGTTCGCACAGTGAACAATCCTTTGCACGATGAACACTCACCTCAAACTCGCACGACAAACTGTCCAACAAACGTGGCAGAGTT